CAGCAGATCACAGTCCCTTCTCCTTTCGCCCCTCAGGATTGTGGGCATGCACACGCACATGCCCAGTGTGATCTCCAAGCCACTGGGTCTGGAACTCGAACCACCAAGTCAGCCGTGAGGGTGCAGCACCCTAACCCACGCCACCGCGGCCCGGTGGGCACTTCGGGTTACTGTAGCTGGGCGAGGCGCATCTTCCCCGGGCTCTGTCTCCCGGCCTGCCAATCCCTCACACATGCATATGTCTCCCGTGGAAAGAAGAAGGCGATTCCCCTTGGGCATGCCTCACAGGGTGCTGCGTGTGGTGCCAGGATGGTCAGGGACGTCGGGCCAGGACTCCCAGGTGGTAACACGGACCTTCCTGACACACACGTTTCTCTGAGCACTGTTGGAGGACCCAGGAGGAGGGCCCTGGGGCCAGGGACAGGACACCAATCTGTGGTGGGCAGCCATGCCCCCCCAGGATAGCATGTTCTCCGTGAAAACCCTCCTGCTCCGACCTGGGGTGCGACTGGGGTGGCCGGGCATGGGTGCAGCTCTGTCCTGATTGTTGTCCTCGCAGAACACTAGGCCGGCAGTTGTGCAGGCTGGACCTCGTGAAGGTCGGTCCTCCCCACACCCCACCGCACCAGCGGGCCACGGCGATGACTCGGATTTCACTGGCCGCCGCTGGCACGTCCCCACCTGCCACCACGTGACAGGGCCGCGGCGATGGCTCCGAGGCCTGTATGCCAGGGCGGCGGCGATGGCTCGGAGCCCTGTACTTCACTGGCCGCTTGAATGTCCCCACCCACCACTGCGTGACCGGGCCGCGGTGATGGCTCGGAGCCCTGTACTTCACTGGCCGCTTGAATGTCCCCACCCACCACTGCGTGACCGGGCCGCGGTGATGGCTCGGAGCCCTGTACTTCACTGGCCGCTTGAATGTCCCCACCCACCACTGCGTGACCGGGCCACGGCGATGGCTCAGAGCCCTGTACCTCTGGGACGGGAGCTCAGGCTGCCTCCACCCAGTGCCAGCAGCATCCTCCCTCCTTCCTGTCTGTGCAAAGGTGCGTCCTGGGTCCAGGCAGCCGGGCACCCACGTCCTCCGATTCTGTCTCCCCTGGTGGTCAATTCCGTGTCCTTTGGGTAGTGAGCACTCCCCAGGGGCTGGCACCCAACCCGGCTGGATTTCGTGGCGTGGTAAACGTCCACCAAGCGGCAGCAGAGGCGGGCCACGTACAGGACGCAGGAGCTGTGTCAGAGAAGTCGTGAGCAGCCCCCAGGGAAGCAGGGGTGGTGAGCGCGAGCACAGCAGCTCTGCACGGGCATGTGGGGGGACACTCCTACAGGATGCCACCGAGGAGCCCTGGCTTGGCCCCTGCAGCCCCTTGGCGTCTGCCTTGGCCAAAGCCCCATGTCGCCTGTCCCCTGGGCCAAGCCTGGTGTTCGAGTGTCACGTGAGCCCACACAAGTCCCCACTTGAGCCGCATGGTGGAGGTCAAAAGGCCAGAGCAGGGCCAGCTCCTGGCCTGGGTGATGGCAGCCAGATCCCACACCCACACGGCCACAGAGGCCTGGGCCTAGCAGCTCGAGAAACACGCCAGGCACCTGTGCACGTGAGCCGCAGACCGAGTGAGGGGGCGGAGGGCTGTGGGGTGGCCACACCCCACTGAGGCACGCTCCTGCCTCCTTCAGCCTGTCCCTGTCTCTGTCTCTCTCTCTCTGGCGAGTGCACACACCCTTTGGCTCACACGAAAAGCCACAGTAGGTGTCGGTGATGCATGGTCCTGGGTCCTGCCTCCTTCTGTGACAACTGCTCCTCCTCGGCCGCAGGGACCGGGGCATCCCTGGGACAGACCCCACAGGCTGCCGTGGGGCCTTCTCTAGACCCCACCGTCTCACAAGGATGCGGACATCAGCAGCCGCCACGTTACTTCCATGGGTGCCCGGAGTGCCTGTGAATCAGCTTCGGCTGCTCCAGGACACACGTGCACTCCCCTGGGGCCCTCAGGCTGCAGAGCACACCTCTCCCCCCGGGCTTCACCCTCTCCTCCCTGCGGGAACCCGAACCCTGTGGTCACCGCTTCGAGAGGTCTAAGCAGTGAGCGAGGCCCTCAGCCGCAAGGGCGTAAGCCCCCCTCCTCTGCGTGGGTCCCTCCACTTTCCCTCCACTAGACGTGAGCTTCCCAGCCCCTCCGGCCCGTGGGGACTGGCTGACCCTGGAGGCCCTGGCTCCGTGTGTCCTGGTCCCCATTTTACTTGCCTTTCCCAGGGCCTTGCTACAGGCTGATGATGCAAACCTCATGCATGTTCACGTGCGAACCCTGACAGCACGTCCCCCTTGCAGGAGTCACGAGCACCACCAACCCTGGCAAAAGATCATGACGGGACTCTATGGGTTTTTGCTTGTGTGTGTGTGTGTATGAGTGTGTGTGAGTGTGTGTTTTCAGTTATTTGCTCTCAGGCACATGCAGCACTGGAGGGGGTGAAAAGTCACTCCTCAGGGCGAGGGTCACGCCGCAGACTTTGGACCTGCCGGCACCGGGTCCGGGGCTTAAACCTAAGCAGGCTATGCAGGGTCAGTGCCTACGCCAGGCACCACCTGTGGCCCCCAGCTCCGGTTTTCCTTCTTGATTGTCCTGCCACTTCCTCCTGCCTCCCGGGCCCACAGCGGCCACCGCCCTGCTCTCATCTCGACGCTGTCTGTGTCTTCTATGACTTTAGGGCAGGCGTGGTCATGCATGCAATCTGGCTTTGTCACTCAGCGCTGAGTGCTCCCTCCCTACTGCGCACGCCAGTCCATCGAGTACACGCACTGACACTCGTGCCCTCACTGACGGACGCCGGGGCGTTCCTGGCTGTGGTGGACCCCCGTGTTCAAACCCCTGTAAGGATTCATCTTTTCACCACTCCTGTAGGTCTGTGGGGACAGTGGATGCAGGTGGAGAGCGGGCACGTGTTTAAGTGTCGTAAACACCTCTGTGCGTGTACTTAACAGTACTGAGCTCGCCCTCAACCTGAGTAAGATGGTAAGTTTGCTGTGTGATTCTTTATCGCTTTCACGGGAGAGAGGCAGAGCCCCAAGCTGCCCACAGGGCCCATGCCATGACCCTCCCTGAGGCCTTCTGGGCAGCCGTGGTCATGCACACACACGTGCCCGGC